GCGCGCACGCGACGTGGTCGTCCCTCGGGTCGGCTGCCCTGGAATTCAAATTCCCCCTGGGAGGAAGAGGAGGAGGAGGAGAAGGAGGAGGAGAAGGAGGAGAAGGAGGGGGAGGAGGAGGAGGAGGAGGAGGAGGAGGAGGAGGAGGAGGAGGAGGAGGAGGAGGAGAAGGATGAGGAGGAGGAGGTGAGGAAGGAGGAGGAGGGGAGGAGGAGGAGGGGGATGAGGAGGAGGAGGAGGAGGAGGAGGAGGAGGAGGAGGAGGAGGAGGAGAAGGAGGAGGAGGGGGAGGAGAAGGAGGAGGAGGAGGAGGAGGAGGAGGAGGAGGAGGAGGGGAGGAGGAGAGGGAGGAGGAGAGGGAGGAGGAGAGGCGCTCTGCGTGGTGTGCAGCCGGGCGCGCTGCGTTCTCTGCGCGGGGGCGGCCACTGAAATGATGATGGCCAGAAGCGCCATCATCGCCGGCCGTTCGGCGGCCGCCACATTGGCGAGGCTGGCCCTGCTTCGTCCTCTGCGCACTGCTTGCGCAGGACGCCCAGGCCTGACGTGGTCCTCCTCCTCCTCCTCCTCCTCCTCCTCCTTTCCTTCCGGTTTGTAGCTCCTCCCAGCGGATTGTCGTCAACGACGTGGTGCTGCAAGGCATTCGTCGTCAGAGCATGGTGGCGGCCACTGTTTGTGGAGGGGTGGAGTCCATCGTGAAATCTTTCCAAGACTTGCATCTCCCGGTTCACACGGGCAAGAGCAAGATCTTGGCCAGCACGGCGGAGCCGGCAGATGAACTCCACCAGGCGTGGAGGGAGCCTTCCGCCCACAGCAAGGGTAGACACGGCTCGGAGCCTCGGCGGCGACATCACCATGGGTTCCCTCCGTCGCGTTGCAACGACTCGCCAACGTCAGACGGCAGCTCGCCAGCGCTGTCGACGATACGCACTCCTCCGACAAGGAGGGCAGGGGCTTCCTCGGCGGGATCATGGGGGAGCGCAGTGATGGGGCCCACCGCCCAGCAGCTGCATGGCCTGCGGGTGAGCGCAACGTGCAGCATGGGCAGGCTGCCGCGCGGAGCCAGCGTCGGCCCCTGCCTCCCTTCGTACAGCAACGGGGCCCGCCTCGATCCGCTGGTTATCCACGCAGGTGGTGTGCCCCGACTCTGGTGAGGGGCTGTGTGGGCTGGCAACGGGAAGCCGCGTATCTTGGAGGTCACGCTGGCAGCAGCCTGCAAGAAGGCCGTGGCGTCGGGGAGCCCACGGCGGACAGCCACTTCCCCTGCCGATGTACTGGTACTCACCCTGGCCTTCGTCGACTGGGTCATGGAGGACAGCGCGCAACTCGCCACGGACGCGGGGGAGGGGTACGACATCCTGCGGACCCCTTCGATCCAGCTCCAGAAACTAGTCGAGGCCGCGGCAGTGCGGGCATCTGACCGCATGGCCCTCAGCCGTATTGGGGCTGAGCCTGCAGTGGCGCATGGAAACGGCGACGCTGGCGGAGATGCGCACCCTGGCGCGCTTCCAGTGTGTTGGAGTGGCAAGCGCTGGCTGGAGTCTCTGGCATCAACGTGCCCTGCGAGCAGGCGTCAGCAAGAGTCTGGTGCCAATCGCGTCTGCTCAGGCACGGACTCGTGCATGATGGATTGTGCAGGCGATGCGGAGGCTCCCTGGGTACGCTATGGCACCGTGGCTACGATTGCCCGGCGCACCAGGCGCTTTGACGAGGTCGCGTGTCGGGGCTCGCCATTGCCTTCGTGCCACCAGGGTGCGTGACTGGAGCTCGGAAGGAGCAGAGAGTCACGAGGGGAAACACACATACGCAATTCATCGCCGATCCACAGGGAAATTTAGGAACACATGGGGCAGGGGGGGGAAGACGAAAACACGGAGAATATGAGAACATGGGGGATCCTGGGATCTGTGTCTGCTCATCCGTGTGTCCACGGCCCCCTTCGAGGGGTTCACTCGGGGCGTGCTGCCCGCGCGCGGCCTGCCTCTTCCCCCGCGCGGCGCCCGCCGAGTCGGGAATCAGGTGGGTGACCACGCTGGCCGTCTGCGTTTTGCGTGGCACCTCACAGCCGAACACATGATCAAGAGATGCATCAGTCAAGGCATCTGGACCTGCTTCCTGCAGATTTCTCGAAGCAAGCCCGGGCGAATTTCTGCTGTGAGCGCCGGAGAAACGAACGTGCTAAAGAAGCTGAGCCAACTTTCTGGCGAGTTGGTCAAGAAACGCTGGCCCAGCCTCTCGGGAGGAGGTTTCTCAATCAGATGCTAGACTGTGGTTCGTGATGGGAGTGCCTTCCACAAGGAGATCCCTGAACTGGCCCGTGCTGGATATGGGCGGGCGCCCAAGTCGAACGCTTTGGACACGCGGAAGCGGCGGCCCATGGGCCTGTCCCATTCAGGGCGGGCCCGCGGCAGACCTCCCGTGACGGCGGCTTCGAGGAGCTGGTCCGCGAGAACGCCGGGTGGTTCGCGGAGCTCCGGGGAATGCTTGGAGAGGGCCAGCGCCGG